ATGTCATTATTGACAATAGCTTGATTCGATGTACACTGCGTTAATTTTCAAGTACCATCATTGAAGCGCATTCGGCACACTCCACAAATCGATCTTATTGATCGACGAGTTAACGTTTGCCTCCTGAATATTGTCCATGCGGACTTTCAAGTAGTCGTGTAGTTCCCGAATGACCTCGACGTTTTCGTTGAGTTTAGGTACGCTGCAGGGCAGCAGTGTCACCGTCAGGTCATGCGTCGTATGCGAAGAGCTTGATAACAGTGCTGGCAATGCTCTGACGGTTTATGTCCCGTATCGCTAGTTGTTAACATTAACCACAAGAATTTACATCTTCACGAAAACTATTGGAGGGCCGCAACAAAATAATTTCATTGATATTTTACCCTTGCAATTGAATATCGTGAAATAGATAGCTACATCGATGCATGAGGATATGGTGTGGTTTAATAAAATATGATAATAAGCAGAATTGCTGTCGTTATATATATTCGATCAAATGAATATTAATGAACAGGTTTAGACTTCGTTTTGTGCACGATTATCCTTTGCCTTGCAGATTAAAACTGTAGGATGTCTATTAGCGGATGCCTAAATTAAAACTTTTTTCCATCACTCATCAACGAAATGTCTGGCATTTTATTTTTTATCCGTTGATATAATTAGACTTCATTTAACAAAGTACTCTCGACCTATATTGGTATTTTGTTCCCGTATAAACTCATAATTTTGTCGACGACGTTCAATACTTATAAGTCCAGTATCCACCAAAATACGATGTTATTGGCGTTTGGATCAGAACTTTGCGTTTCATTAAATAAAAAAAATCGATTTCGTATTGAATAGCATACGTTAATATGGTTGAATAAATCTACAATTAAGTCTAATTTATCATTTGTTTCGCAAGCCACATGTCAATCTTCGGTGTCGCGGTGAGAATTTACCTCTGAATAAACTTCAATTTAAGTATACGAAGGCATACATGTAATGTTATATATACGCTAAGATCACTTTTACCTGCATTACCGCCAATCTTCGAAGAGTTGAAAGAGCTAAAATGTATAGGAGGTCGCCTTTCCACTTTGAATAATTTAAGTCTTCGCTCAGGCTGCTATATGGGTATGGCATATAGCGTATCCCCAACACTATACATAATAAACCTAAACCTTCCATCACCTTCAAAGGCGTTTCGTGCCATAATGTTACTAATAACGTATCCTATGCCCCTTCTCACCTTGACTGCCTCGGCGCGAGCTACATGTTTTAACGCATCCCTTTTCATCCTAGGCTACATATAATGTTATGCATATATAACGTTTACGTGGATTATTGAATAGCATAAATTTGAGCGTTGAGTTTTTACTATGTAGTAAAAGAAGAAATAAAGCACGAAACAGCGAAATTGAAAAAAAGAGAGAAGGAAAAAACGATAATTTAGGAAAGTTGGAGCAAGCGATGTAACTGGTGCATATACTAGCATTATTGTGTCTGCAGATAAAAGACACAAGAAAGATAATTGGACGAGAGCGCCTTTGAACTTGCCAAGGGATGAGTTAGTTTATAAGGAAGACAAAAAAATACTTTTGCAACTTTTACTCCATTTAAAGCTTGAATCCTGGGCAGGGTTGCAATTTAATTGTTGTCGAGTTTCTGCGTTTCAGGGACGGCACAAACGAAATTCCTAATCCAATGACGCTTGACTCGAGCTTTAAATATCAAGATAAACGTAATGCAGCGAAAGGGTCAAGATTCCTCTGTCGTGTTTTTTTTTTTAAAAAACCCTTTCAGAGTTTTCCGTCCGAATTCCACATGCTAAGCCCCAGGGCGCAGTTCTGAATCAATTTTTTCTTCAGCAGGTGCTATTATTGCCGAGCAACAGCAGCAGGTTTCTTTTTTCGCCTCTTATAGTGCTTGAGATCGAAAAGGTATTGTTAAATTACGCCGAAGCTACGCGCACGATGGGGGAGAGGGAGAGAGAGACGGACGCGTGAGATAGATTTTAATGGAGCTTAGTAAACTGGACACGTAGTCACTTTGGCCGCGAACTGAAACGCCTGCTGCTGCTGCTGTCGGCACGCTTATCGCAAGCTCACTACTGCGGTCACATACTCGGCGTTACTCCACGGCGCAGCATAGTTCGCCCAGACGCGCCAGCTGCCATTGTACTGTATGCACAATGTGCGCGCGGACGTCCAGCGGTATACGCCATGGCGCGTAAGACCCTTTTATATTCTTCGGCCTCTCTGATGGAAAAATAATACTATCCATAAAATAAGGAGTGCCATTCTCAAGTTGTTAGGTATATAAAGCTCTCGAGCAAAACAACGTTTGTCGCGATCGAGCGCGGCAAAGAACGGCGGATAGTTTCTCTGGCATATCAAACGAGCAAAATTAAATGAGCTCGAGAGGAAGAGAGTAATCGAAAGGCATGCATGCAGGCTTGCGCGCGCGAGCGATCGAATTATTAAAATCAATTTGGAACGCGATTTGCTTTATCAAATGGCAAATGTCAATACTTATGCATACACAAAACGAACGTATACATCATTATATTCGATCAAATCTATGTACACACTCGCGTATACATATAAAGCATAATATAATAGGGTACCTGTACCAGTACGCGGGCGCGCGCGAGAGTACAATGGCATTATGCATGCTAAGCTTTCGCGAGCAGGCTACCTTATCATTGTGACTGCGAACCACGTACGAACTAACTCTGTACACACACGCGCACACGCACGCACACACACACACACACAGACATGTTGCGACGTACCCACGCTCTTGAGTGCACGCCTGTGTGTGACAGTGTGTCTTGACACCGAGTAATATTCTAAAACTTTGGCACATGCAGACGCATGTGTATATACCACGCGAGTGGCTTCGATCGATGCTTTCCGCGCGCACTTATAGTGTCGAGTGCTTTTTCCATCATTTATAAACTTTAAAACGCACCGAGGTTAAGTACTTGATTCGATTGCTAATTAATAAATATCATGCATTTTTAATCTTCAAATTATCTAGTGCAGTGAACAAGCTACAAAACATGGATTCTCAAGGCCGTATCGTATCTTCCGATAACCTGTTAATCAGTTGAGAGTGAAGTTTTTTTCTTGATTTATTTTTAAGATGAAAAAATTTTTGATTTGAAAGTCACTCAATACTTTAGAAAATTAATGGTTACTCGTTATAATATTCCTTGACTATCAATCTTCCGATAGAAAATCAGATCAGCTTCGTAGGGCCTGATCTTTCTCGATAGATTTACTCAGATGACATCGGAATAAGAACAAAGCTAAGTCGTAACAATGGAAATAATATACACAGTCTAACAAGTTAATGACTCGCGCACACCCACGAATTCATAATCAATTTCAATTGACGTCGTTTGCGTCGAGCCTAGGGTGCCGCTGCCGGCTACAAGGTAATTGCTCGATGGACGCAAAGGCGTAACATTATCTCTCCTCCCAATGTCCAGGCATATAAACTCGTATCATAGGATGTTATTTCGAAGGTTGCGCGCCACGCAAAATATGTTTACTCCTGCAAAGTCGGCAGGGATATAACGAAACGTTATACGGTGAGGCTACGCCGTTAGTGCATCATTAGCGACTGCATTTAAAGGTTATTAAGAGCAAGTTTGTATGTGTATATTGTATGTGTGTGTATGTATGTGTACGCGCGCGACCAAACACGAACCGCTCGAACGCGTATAATTACCGAAAGGTCTTTGCGCTGTTTATTGCGTTAACAAGAATTGAAATGCCCGAGAAAAAATATAGGCGAAAAAAAGTAGAAATTAACACGCATGCGAAGTTGATTTAGTCGAAGCTACGAGCGTGAACGAGAAAAATTATGCATCGTTAGAAATTAATGACCCTCGATCGTTGAAACAATGGCAGTGTGAAAAATCGTTAAATTGTATAGAATTTATCGGGGCATCACAGCGCCTTCAGTCGATGAGTCATTATAAAGACAGACAAAAAAAGTTCAATTGTCAGCTCGGCTGTAGCGTAAATAATTTATTTATTTATATGCGTACGGGCGTTTAATTATCGAAGTCCGTTGATATTTAGCTTATTTTTTCTTTCGACTTTTTTTTTAAATCCTTTGAAAATGAGCTGTCAAACTGAATATGCACGTTCTGCATGCTGTGCTGCTCATCCATCCGATAAATATCGCACGTATCATCAGTTCGTTGCTTCGGCACAAAACTCAACGAGAAGTAAAATAAAAGTTCAACGCGTGAAATTGCTTTTCTGGAAGAGAGGAGGCCGCGTGTGTATGCGCACGTGTGTGTGTGGTTGTGCGTGAGTGTGTCTACGTATACACAGCGAACTTTGCAATTGACGAAGTTAATATCGGATGTATTGGAAAAATGAAAAACAAAAATAACACAGCTGCGCATGAAGTTTTAAGGATGCGCTCAAAGTTCTAAAATCAATTTGTATTATTTTTCAAGAGCACCCATACCGCACGCTATCTGATCACTTTTGACGGATTTATGTCGATGTATAGGTATAAAAAAAGCCGCGTCGTGAATTTCATACTGCAGTCTGGCTGATCCAACCGCGCAGCTCTCTGAATTTTTGATGATTCAGCAGCTGTTTGTTTTTCGGCCGCGAAACGAAAAATTCCAAATTATAAATTAATCCAATATATCTGGCTTCTCGAAGGGCTTCTTTCTCATTTACAAACACAAGAGAAAAAGAAACTTCTTTGCAATTAGAGTCGGAAGTTTTCGAATTATATCTTATACAGGACCGTTTTATAAAGTAACTCGGCGTGCTTAGATTATGGAAGTTTGAGAAAAGTTTTCAAATTCAATCATATCGTATTTTCATTTCAACTGTATATTTTCCACTTGACAACATGACGAATCTTTGCAAATTCACTGCACATATATCGAGTTACTATGTTGAATAATTTTTCATGCAGGAAAATTAATTTTATCAATGAATTTATAAAAGTAAATAAAAAGGTTATTAATATTGACTCACGCTTATCGATGAAACGAAAATTTCCAGAAAAGCCGGGACTCGTAACATTGGTTTTTTTGACGCTGGGCTCGGCGTGAAACTCGAATATCAATGTCGGTCCCGAGCTGTAGAGCACTTGCGGTATGTCGGCCAGCGTACCGCAGAGAAGACCGGACCAAGGCGTGTATTCGTTAACGCCGCGCTCGTCTGGCTCCAAGTGTAGAAAAACTTTGAGAAAATCTCCCCTGTTGCAGCTGAACATGAAAAAGAGAAGAAAACAAGCATATCATGCTGAGAATTAATTGAGGTATCTTAGCGAGAGCTAAAAATAAAAGTACGCACGTTTGCGCAGTGCACACAAAAGTGTACGCTTTCTTCCCCATGCACTATCTCACTTGGCTTTTCTTACTCGACTTTTCGCTGTTTTTGCTCTTTGATACGTTGGCCAATCGCGCTAATCTCGGTCTTATATCCACCCCCACAGGCTTGCAAAGTCGAATTTAATTCTTAACCCTGGGTGACTTTTCTCCTCTAATTCATGAGAAAAAACGTCACGTTACAGATAAAGCCATCCTCGATGATTTTCTACATTTAGAGAGAAAAAAAAGTTGGTTGGCAATCGAACGATTTACACGAGCTGGGAGAGCAATGGAAATTAAACTAATCCGAGATTTTTCCATCAAACTGCAGCCCGGTCGCATTGCAATATCAATCCAAAAGCGCGTCCCTTTAACGAAAATCAGCAGCAGTGTAACGCGCGCGCGCGACTCGATTGCACATTTCAATCTACATTTATATTGAAATGTATATTATCTTCATAAGCGCGCGGGCGCGTACCGAACGAGTGTATTTAATCACTTTTAAATTAACTTTTGTGAACTTAATTGAAGTCGCAGAACCTTCTCGTCGGTGGCGCTCAAGTGCGAGAGTCGTATATATATAGAGCCGAAAGAGAAAGAGAGAGTAGAGTTATCACAAGTTGCATAAGTGGATAAAGGGGGCTGCAGCCGCGCGTCGTAGGCAGAGTGACGTTATAAGAGTAGAAAAGAGTAAGTACAGGGCATCGTCGTCGTCGTCGTCGTCGGGATCAAGTTAAAACTATCGTTTTTGTGTCTGAGGGATGGGGCGCGCGAGCGAGGCCAAAAAAGAAGATGGAAGCCTTATCCGACTAACTCGTATTTTCGATTTTTCACGCGCGTTTCGAAGAAAGAGCCGCGCGCGTGTATGTCTGCAGCTGCGAGATGGAACTAGAAATGGAAAGATCCAATCCTTCGAATGACTCTTTGCACTTTGCATATACGCGCGTAACATATATATCTGGCCTGATGTATCTCGCGAGATATGAGCGAGAGCTTATATACTCGAGGGGCTTTCCCTTACAGGCATCTTTCTTTGATCTCCTATCCCTTACACTAATATTTGCTCTTATTCCACTTTCAATTTATTTTCGGCTGTGTATACATATCGCCGAGAGCTTTAGGTGAAGATCTTCTCCGGCTTGGCTTGTCGACGCCGAGAGAATTAATAAACTCCAGGCTATAACGAGCTTTAGTGGGCTTCTTTTTTCTTCGCGCTTAAACGAGTTAAAACTCATCGATAACTGGTGTAATCAAGAAAATGGCGTGCTATCCTTCCACAAAGCTAACTAGGATGATTTATATAAAAGTTACAGCTGTAAAACGTTTCGGAGAAATAAATCTAAACACAGGTGATAAAACTGGGAGAAATTTAATATCGCAAAACTGAAACAAAGTGCAACTGTTATATTCGATCGGTTCGCAATCGTTCGAGACTAGTCGGCTTTTGATCGTGCTTCGCGCACAAGCTCGCAAATCATAATTTATAGCATCGGCTTCGAGACTCTTCGAACTGACCTTCGGAAAAAAGTATATCACTAAACTCCAATACTGAGAACAATAAAACAAATGGTAGATTTCGAGCTCATCGTAAAAGTTACATCTCTGAGCGTAATTTCAATGATCTAATGGTTCATGACCAGCTGTAAACTGCGCAGGGAACAAAAGTTCATACCTGCATAGGCACAAAAGAGCTACGTGCGGCGCTTCATATATTTGTGCACTTACAATACATATATTCAGAACTTCGTTCCAGCACTGTACATAAACGAATCCGTTAATTGCAATTTTTTTCTCTTGCAGATTAAACGGCCGGCACTCAGTATTGCTGCCAACTAATTGGGGCCGCTAAGTTTTATTCAGCTTTAATGGTGACACATATTTTGCGCAGAGAAAAAGTGTCTCTCTTGCCCTCACGCTCGCGCTTACGCCTCAATGACGTAATGATACAAGAAGTATGGCTAATTACTCCGACTGAGAATAACAGACCTTTCGCATTTTTTCCGCCCGAGTATATTTAATTTAGAATCTTTTGTGTTTTGCTCTCGATTCGCTCGACGCTTACTCTCGATCGATTCCAAAGCGGAAAGAAGAGTGAAAAGTTACAAGAGATTGTTCCAAAGTGCCCAACTCGTTGGAATTCCTCGGAGAGAAAAAGTTTCAAAAATTTTCCATTCATTTTCTTTGCGCGTCATTTTTTATTTTATTTTTTTTTTTATTTTCATCTAGCTAGCCATTAATCCACGCGTCTAATAATTCAAGCACGGAAGTGGACTACAAATAAATTTTCCAAGATTTCATTCACTAGAGCACATACGGCTTTTTACATGAGCTAATGAAATCATGGAGATTGTGAAGGGAACTTTGCATTTCGCGAGGTACGAGATAAATCCATTTTATAAAAAATGCATACCTTTTTGCGGTCAAATGGAGCGTGGAATTGTTTATTTTTGCCTCCCGAGCAAAATGTTTTCATGAACGAACTTACGTTCAGCGCGTATCGCTCACACCACACGTAACAGCTTTCATGCGCGGCAATATTAATATTAAACAGAAAAAAAACCATTTCGGAGATAAGCAATGATCGAGTCAGGCATAGTCGACGGTAGCAGCCAAACTGCTGGGGCGTATAGTTAAGCTTTATGGTGAATTGCGAAGATTGCGCGAGAATGAAAAATTTTTTGATAACGTTGCGAGCACAATAATGGCTAAACACGCGGCGCGCGTCTTTCTGGCATAACTGGCATAAAATAGAGAAAAAAGCCGGCCCGCTTGATAAATAAAACAAGCTACTGTTTCTGCTAGTCCGGCGGACCGACTGCTCCCTGCACAATTGCAATCCTCGATATGGTAAAATAAAAAAATTTTATTACTTACGCGTACACCCCCTTGCGCGAGCGAGAGCGAGAGAGGCAGAGAGTTTGGCCTCGCGCCCCGAAATCGTACACGCCATCTCGAGCTCGTAAATCAAAAGTTCCGTTCGATATAAAGCGCGGCGGTGCACGATTTAACTTTGGCTCTGGCAGCGCCGCGCACTACGTATATATCCTATATGTGGTACGTATGTACGTACGTGTACGCGCCTCGGATATGTGTGCATGTAACGCCGCTGCTGCCGCTCTCCACAGCCAAAGAGCTTCCGGAAATTTGGATCCCAGAGCTTTTACCTTGCGAGGAATATTGCGTTGTGGCTTGTTGAATTTCTACTATTGCATGTAGCCGAACAATCGTACAGGGGCAGAGCGACTAAGTCGAATTTAGGCAAATCCCGCGTGCGCTAGNAGGGGGGGGGGCAAATTAAGTCGCCGAGCGAATTCGCTTGGCTCGCATTATTGTGTTTACGTGCGTGCGGATCATGGCGCAGAGCTAAAAGCAAACGTCGCCGTATCGATGCTTTGAACGAGACTTATTCTTCTCTTTCATAAAATTAGTACATGTACGAAATGTAAGTGCGCTATACTCACTCGGGATATGTGCTGCGTGTATCGAAATGATGAAACGTCAACTCGACGATCTCGTCGGCTGTGCCTTGAAATGTGTACAGCAAACAGTCGACTCGGGATGGATAACGTTTTGGATAGTCCGGCGACGTGAAAGTACCACCTTGGGGATTGTAACGACTGCTGAAGATGATGCAGGAACAGCCTGGAATACAAAAAAAAGCCATAGTATCGATTTACTGAAACGTGCCATAAATCTATGGTAGTAATAACGAATGCGGACTGAAGAGAGAGGATGTGAAAGGTCTTTTGGTCCACTTTTAATCGAAAGATGATTCGTTATATTTTCTGCGCTACACGAGGAAAAAAACGTGGAAGGAAGAGGATATTATCGCGTGTGCAAAGGGAATGGCAAAAAACGTTAGCGGCTGTATATATCATACGGCGCTCGATTCTTTTCCACCAGACATATTAAAAAACGTCCCGCGCGCCCACGCGCTGCTTTTCCCTTGACGTGGCCAATTTTTTTTCTTCTTTTTTTTCAACTTATTACACTCGAATCGTTCTGTGTGCCCAAGTTGACTTTTAGTTTATTTTTCCAGCCCCAACATTTACTGAGCCCTTTCGTCTGGTCCGATACTTTTATTTTCGTCTTTAATTGTACGAAAAATCTAGTTTCAGCGCGACCATCGACTAGGTGATATACGGCGTCTACTTAATTTTCAACGCGGTACGTTCTACCACCGTTAAAGCAGGGGTAAATAAGGGTAAAATCAATATCATTTATAGATTTTATGGAAATCAGATGGAACTTCCAGACCGTGACTCTTGCAAACTGGTTTTGAATTCAGAACGAATAAGATTTTACTCTTGCAGAAAAGTTGAGTCACATGCGTACATTATATACAGAAGGATGTAAAAAAGGCAAACGATATAACCGATTACTGTGTTCCGACCAAATATAACTCGAGTCTATCGCAGAAAACCGCGTAAAGAACGCTGAAGTCTTGCGTGCACCTCGCACACCTGTCACGGTATCCGTTAATTCAAAAGACAAATTGCATTGTAAACGCAAAAATCTTTTTGGAAATAACTTTGGAATTTAAGACTCTCTCGAGAGCTGTCTCGAGAAATGTGGAAAAAGTTTTCCCTAGGAACACAAGAGTAAAAGGGAGTGGGAGAGAGAATAGAGCAGCTCCGCGCAGCGTAACGGTGAATAATATAGTCGAAATTAACGCGCACGGCGGCTTCTCCGCTTCAAATGTATATTAACGAAATTCATTCGACTTTCTATAAAAGACACGCAATAAAAGAAATAATTTCAATTTGAGGCGCGAAGCTCATTTTAAAATGCGACGCTGTAGTTTGACAAGAATAACGCGTAATAAGAGCGTGACGCTAGGCAGTAGGATAGGTCAAGCGATAGTCAGGCCGAGGGTTGGTGAGCAATTCTCGCCTCTCGTCGATGCTTTTTGCGATCGTCCGCGCGAGACCACAAATGTGCAGCAGTTGCAACTGTAAATCGTCGAAAGGCCGTGATAATGTTCATTGTACATAGCACAGAGAAAAGAGCAACAAAGACCCGTATTACTATTCTTCTCTCCGAGCTCATATGGGTATTCACACGCACATGTCCGAGAAAGTCGATATCTGCGAAAGCTGCTACCAAGATAAATGCACGTATCAAGCGAGAAATTCGAAAATGTATATCGTGGTGTCACCTACGAGATTCATCTTTCGGAATTCTGCGAGACCGCAAAGTGTGAATCGTACCATACAATCGCGTTAAATTATTCGCCAGGTCAAATTGAAACTCACGTGTGTCTGCGGCGCCGGTGACAAATTTGTATATACGCGCAAGGACAGTCACACGAGTATTACTGTATACTGTATCAACCGGATGTAGCGTCTAGCTGCGGCGTATACATAGACCATTAGGTGAGCTTTCGCACGGTTGCGTCTCGTCGCTGCTCGCCTGTATGCCATTGGATACGCCTATATAATAAAGATTTAACGTAATTAATACAGCGCCACGAGGGTAATGCGAAACGCATACATACACAGACAACAATTAAATGGAATTAAAATCGAATATCTCGGGCTGAGCGAAAGCTCGAGGCGCTATTATCGTAGCGGAATGATTCCCTAATGATCTTACTCTGTCGCGCAGCGTAGAAGTGTGATGACCTTTTTTTCTTTCATCTATTGTGAAAAAGCGAGAGACAAAAAAACATTTTATTTTTGGTAGTTATATAATCAACGATCAATTTTATCGAGTGAATGTTTTGTTTCAGGAAAAAAAAATATTTCAAGAGTCTCGCCTGCGCAACGCGCGCATTTGTTCGCCGGTTCGTTGAAAACGATATTATTTTTCAACTCCTTAAAAACCTTTGATTGAAAAAACAATTTTTTTTCAACGGCACTTGCGAATGATTGCACGTATGACAAGCGAGAGAGATTGCGAAAAATAACACATTTAAAAAATTCAATGAATCAAAGAGGCTTGCTTTACTGGTCGAAAAAATGTTATAAAATTAACCACATAGAAATTCCAAAGTATGAAATGTAATAGTGTTTAAAAAAATTACAAAATTCAGTTCAGCGTGTGTAATTCAGAGCAATCAAAACTGCAGGCGATGCAATTAAAAGTAGCTCGCGTAGCGTGCAAAATTCCACTGGCAGCAGCGTGTGCAGGGCGACAACTCGTGTATTTAAACACTATCTGCCTCCCTCTGCGCACTAGCTCGGAACTATACTCCCTTTCAAAACGACTACTACTCCTACTACTGCTCTCTAGTGGCTCTTTGAATAGCAATGAAATACCTCCTTCCCATCAGATTCTACACACCGAATTTGTGTGCATGTGTAAAAATGTTATATTAATGTTTGTATGTGTGCGTGCGTGCGTGCGTGTGTGTGTTTGCGCGTGTTTGCATGGGCAATGTAACGTGGCACGCGAACAACTACTTGGTATTTCGTATTTACTTTTTCCTTTTCGCATAGCATATTTTACGATAAGAATTACACAATTCACCGCTGCGCTGAAATAAAAGCGAGAAAAGTAAGTAGCGCGTACGTACATAGCTCGCAAGTAAGGAAATAAAAAAAGGATCTTTTAACGCAGTGAAAATGAAACGCGGAAAATCGTAGCAAAACGGTAAAAAAGTGTGCAGCAAACAGGATGTTTACACGAACTACACTAAAATAGAATCAAATTATCTTCGTTATTATTTCTACTATCTGATCGGTCTCGGATAAAGCAAAGTATATTGTTGAACTTTCTTACAACAGAAGATTTTACAACAATAGCAAGTTAGGAAGAAAAGTACAGCGAATTTGGGAAATAAGCTAGTCAGTGCATGAATGACAAACATCGATCGTAGCTCTGTTCCGACTTGTTGTTTTTGTTTTTCCATTCCTCGCAGAGAATATGAGTTATTTATAGATAGAGTCTCTCTTTTTTACGACGACAAGCTGAACATTGCAAACGTTCGATACTTCAAAAAAAAGCTCTCGTGCTGCAATATTAATCGAAAGAACAAGGCCGAAAATTCCTACAATACCCGCAGCAATATCTCGGCCGTCTTGGCGTTCAGGTGCTTAGAAACGCCTCCCCCGGGAACGGCGCTAAAGCGATGGGATATTTATCGTTTCATTGCCGCCCAAGAATAGCATATGCCAATTGCAAGCTCGTTAAATTAACATACGATCCGATGAAAATGTCGAACTGCGAAAATTTATTCGAGGTACTGCTAAGTGCATTTCCATATACAATGTTTTATCGATTGAACGCCCGTAAAAGTACAAAGTAATGAATCAATTAACATTCATTTGTTTTTCTTTTTATGACGTAAAATTTCAATGTACTAATAATGCCGGCGAGATCAAGAGCCGGAAGATAGAAAAGATAAAAAATAAAAAAAAAAGAATCATAACCAATGGAAGCTGGGAGCTGAATTAAATTTATTGAAAATCGGCATATATCCATTGCGACTTTGGTCGGCACGATAGGTTTGCGATTTTATAATCCCTGACGCGCGATGGTATCAAATTTTCAGTCGAGCAACAACTGTTTATATGCGCAGGTCGCAGATTGCTTTATGCTATAATGAATTCAAATCTGCGCTTCGTTAAATTGTGGACTCTTCGCAAATCGAAACGCACGCGCACGTGTATGCGCACACGCAAATAAACAATCCAATGCCTACCGGTGAATGCCCATTGCGAGGCATATGCTGCGGTTCGTAAATATGATCAGATTGCAGATTGGGACTTTATACGAGCAAAGTACTCGTATACTTTTGATACGCATCGGCACTTTATATATTCTGCGGTTTTATATCAAAATCAACCGTGTCATCCTGCTCCTTTTCATAATTACAAATTATTTACCAAAATAAAGCGAGGAAAAAAACAAGGTCGAAAATCACAAAGGTATTACAGCAGGGCCAGATTGTTCAGCGATCTGCATATTGGTTAAATGAAGCAATAATTCCAGGCGTGAAATATGATGAAATACGAGTTTTAGCTTTAATTTCGTGCGAAATTCGTGCATAATTTTGGTGTGCTGTTTTGTTTTTTGTCGGGAGGAAAGAGGAAGAGAGAGAGAGAGAGAGAGAGTAACGCAATACAATCCCTGGCTGAATGACCGCGAACCAGAACATACATGCGCATATTCCACGCGAACTGGCAATAATACGCATACGTACATTAATTATGCAAACGATGTCGAGACGTAATTTTTCGAATATTCTTCTCTTGCGCGCTGAGTTATTTTATAAAGCAACTTCCGAGGAATTCTGATCCTCTTTTAAAAATGTGATGGGTAGTTTGGTGCAGACACTTTCCCGGGCCTTTGATTGGCTGTTGGCGTAAGTTATGAAGTTTGGTGTATATAATAAAGTAGTGAAATTTAAAATAAATTATTTTATGTTTCATTTTAAACGTCTCTAAGTGATTAATTTTTGGACCAGAAATTTTTTAGTGAGTTGTATGAATATAAAATAAGTATATTTTTATACGATTTAAAATTACTTCAATGATTATGAATAAAAGCATAATTAATATCTATATACAATAAACTAAATAAAAATGAGTTAGATAATGAGAATCAGTTTCCACATACATATTTTTTAATCATTCAGCGGTTAAAAATTAAGTTGATAAAGAGATGTTTCATTAAACGCCCTTCAAAAATCATATATT